GCTGAAATTGTAGGTCAATATTGAGCAAAATAATACCTACTATTGGACAAAATTTCAAATTTATATCAATAAATTTCACCGTATTAATGTTATATTTTCTAAAAAGTGACCACCCAAAAACCGAATCCTCGGACACGGACATACAGAAATTTTCTAAAAACATCATTTCTTTACGTTTCATACCATTCTACATCATTTCCAGGCAAAATTAGAGAATGTCAAAATCCGACAAATACAATGCTTCCATTCGGAAGCAAAAATACAGCAAAAGAGGCCTGGGAAGCCTTCAAGCAACATCACAAAGAAGCAAATGGTATGGATAAATTTGCTTTAATAATAGAATTACTGGACTTGAAACTAAATGAGGATGGAGATATACAAAGTCACATCTCAAAACTACAGGAATTGATTGACAATTTGAGTGCCCTCGGAAGTAAAGCCGTTGAGGAGTTTTGGATTGTATTACGTAGTGTACCAGCTTCGTACGGGCCGTTAATTTCAATTTTGGCTACGATGTCTGAGAAGGACATGACTCCAGAGGTCGTAAATTCAACATTACTTAGTGAATGTAAACGTCGAAGGAAGAATGGATATAACATCCAACAAGTTCGAAAGGTCAAGCGAAAGCTACAGAGCAAGCTCTAATCTCCTCAAGAGGAGATCAATCCTGAAGAAAATCGGGAGAAACCTAAAGTGGCCCTCCTCCCCTACCTGAGAAGCACCATTGAATCCATCAGCAAAGTACTCGACAAACACAACATCCGAACAATCTTCCAAGCCCCAAAGAAGATTGGACAGATGCTGCCGAGTGCGAAAGATCGCAGACTGCCTCTGAGTACATCAGGAGTGTACAAGATCCCCTGCTCATGCAAAAAAGTGTACATTGGTGAAACCGGGAGGAAGATCAGTACACGGATCAGGGATCATCAACATTGGATGGACACCAGACATAGGATCGAGTACGATCAAGCCAGAAGGTTGGCCAAGTCTCAAGGAAATACCGAGAAGGCTTGGAGATCTACAAAAACCTTAACAACCTCAACAGGGACAGAGGATATCAAGTGAACCCTATTTGGAAAACCGTCCTCCCGGTTTTTTAATGGATCAGCTGATCAATTAAAACATGACTGGCTGACCCCCCCCCCTCCCTTCCTCTACCGCACCATCACAGGGGAAGGCATAAAAGGACTACCCTCAGACATCGGAGCTCAGAATCGGAGCTCACAGCTCTGAAGATGCAGACTGCAATGTTTGCGAAACGTCGGCGCAATGCTGAAACCAAACGCGGCATCCATCCGGAAGCCAATAATGTCAACAAAAGGTGATTTTTTCTCGTTCTCTCCTCTTCATTTTTACTCTGTTTGAGGAGAGGATCTGTAAATTGGGTGGATTGCGGGAGGTGTTAGAGTAGGATGAGCCGTGAAAGAAAAAATACTCAGTTTTTTAAAGTCACAATTTATTGGTGGCCAACAGCCATCAAAATCTGAAAATATGTACACTTTATATACGGTTGAATGTCTCTAGAAAGTTATTAATTGATTTCCTGAATTTATACTGATGATTATTCAACTGCGTTGATTGACTCTAAACTGAATTTATAAGACAGAATAAATGAACTGAGTTGATGTACTGATCGGAACTATACTATTACTGTATGACTTCTACAGGTGATTTGCTCGAGATAGACTTATACGGTGAGAGGCTAAGCTTAATCTGATTCGCGCGTGTTTCGGTCACTTATGACTGATGACCCGAAGGGTTCCGGAGATTTTCGAAGTAGGCCGAGCTAGTCGACCAGAATGTTCTGGAATTTTAGTTGCGTTTCAAACACCCCGGGGGCAATTCATCATCAGGGATGATGAATTAATTATTGAGTTTTCTCTGCTGCTCTCGTTGATTTGCTTCTTCTTTTTTTTGAGTAATTTTCTGGTGCTAATGATGTTCTTCGGAGAATTGTCTGCTGGTGCTGTACTGGCGTTGTTGAGGACGCCGGAGGCGCGGCTAATTCTTCAAGTTAGCCACTGAGAACTTCTAGTTGCTGTCATCCTGGTGAATTCTTTGTCGAGTTGAGGGAGGCGTAAATTCCCCCAATTGGCGAATGCGCCAACTGTCGAGTCGAAGGAGGCGTAAATTCCTTCGATCATTGTCGAACTTGAGGTTGATGACTGCTGCGGGGAGAAACAGCGGAGAGAGGTATCACTTGCCAAAATAACGATAAATGGAACATGATACTTATCTCTCAATCCTGGAGCCTCTGGGATCTCCTAGCTGGCTGTTCATGTTTATGATGTCCTGAGAAATCTCTCTAGAACTGCTGACTTCGCTTGTTGATGTTCTCTGTAATGTTGTTGATCTTGCTGATATCTCTACGGGCCTGATCATGTTGTTAATTGACATTCTTGATAAGCTGGTTGAATCACTGATGAGCACGGGTTGAAGTCATTTGTCATGACTCTTATCTTTGTGGTAGTGCTCTCTCCTCTGTCAATGCTAGGGGCATGGAATATGGCCAATGCTGGGGGCGTTGGACGTTGTGCTATTGTTCTGCTTGGAGATCGTCTGACTTCTTGGTGCGGTAGATACAGTGCTGGAAATTCTGATTTCCGGATTTTAACTGCGTCTTACAGTTGTGAATATCTGTGGAGGTAGCCTCTGAATTTCTTATGCGTTTGATCGCATTAAATTCTAATAATTCCTGGTCTCTGGGCTGTAGAGATGCTCTATTACTTGCTCCTTTGAAGATTCCGATACTGCAGTTAAGGTAATCTTCGTTGAACACGTCGATTAATTGGGCCGTTTTACCTCCAATTAATCTGTTGGTCAACTTCTTCATGATTTCAGGATTGACAGGTAACCCGGCATGATTGTCAATCCCTCTGCTGTTACTGATTAAACTAGTCTGTAGATAATTTGGGTCGGCTTGTTGGAGATCTTTTGAGAAACCGACCTTTACTGACTCCATACTTGATCTGAATGTTGATTCTCTTGAAGATGAAGTTGTTGATCTAACTGCTGATCTGAAGGTCGTGCCTCCTCTCGGTGAGCCCTTGACCTTTTGCTGACGATGGTCTCTAATAACTGTCAAATTTGTCAAAGAACGCATTGATTTCTCTGACCCTCCATTGTTGATATACTGAAGTTATTGAAATGCTTAATTAGACAGCGTAGGGGTGAGTGAACCCGTTGCACTGTCTTGTTGATGTACTAAGTCCGTCTTGAGGTCAATGACCTTGTCAGTTTCGGACATAGTGAGTATGACTACTGAGCGTCGATCCGTTACCGACCACTGAGTGTAAAATTCGTCTGCTGCTTAAACCACGTGGCAGGGCGGCTCAAGTGTTGAGGAGCTACGTTGATTGTCGACGACTTCCGAACACTCACGATACTTATACTCTGAGATCACTGATGTCTTGTTTACACCGAATTCCTTGCGGAATGTAAACAAGATTGGCCTTTTGTTCTCGTCACCGTTGATGCCCTCAACCGTTGATGCCCTGTCCGTTCGATAGCTCGTGTGAACCGAATAGCGACTGAGACCCTGATGTTTAAGAGTTCGAAATTGAACTCTACTTAATTGCAACGAATATTGAAGTAAATAAAAATTGAACGATCACAACACGCAACTTTATGTTGTTCATAGCTACGAAATATTGAACAACATTACACAGTGTATGTATTTTTTTATCATTCCGGTCGTAAGGCAGCGCTGCGGCCGTTATGACAAAAATATTATTTAACACTGCCTAAAAACCCTTTTCTATCTCATATTCCCCAGAAAAGTGTTTTAAACCGTATGTCGAAATGCACTATTTCGATTATGCTTTACACTCTTTATTCTTTCTTATCTTTTTCTTCACCACCGAAAGAGGAAAAGTGAATCTTGGAAGATCTTACACGGAGAGAAAATTCTAGCAAAAAGTAGAGTACTATTCACCAACTCATGGGACCAAACCATGGCCACCAAAAAAATTGAGTGACGTCCACAACATCATCGTGCGACGTCAAAAATTCTAATGAAAAACAATGTTTATCCTAATAAATTCAATACGAATTCACAGATAATTATCATATATCCATTAACATTATCCTAGATGTCGGAAATCAGTCTAGGTTGCCCCCACTTCATTTTGCAGTTCGTCGCCTGAGTCCCCCCATTTTCGACTCTGTGCACTGGCGCCACCACTCGGTCTTCCAGGTTATCTTTCTTCAGTGCGGGACCGTTCAAACTCTTCTGGCCCATTATGTCGTGCTCTACAGCAATAGACCTTTTCATCCTGAGAGTCACTCGATTTGCAGACACTTTTTTCCCATGTTATTTACCATGTTAATTCCTCTAGCAGTTTCGGACACATTTACGGAATTTACATATCAATCATAATTCTTGAGGGCTCAAATCTATGCTACCTTAAATGTCAATATTTATTCGGATATTTGCTCATTTTTTTGAAGATTTTTAAGTTTGATAAACAGAATAAACATTTCCCCTAGATTTCTAGAATGAAAAGGTCTATTCGAGATCCGTATAGATAGGTTCCCAATAAATTCCACGAAGATGCCAGGCACAAATTTGAAACCTGAATTTTAAAAACGATCCCATGATTTTCATCGAATATTCGCGATCTCAACATAGATGTGAGAGCCATCAAGTGGGCTCTAAACTAACTACTCTTGGGGGCCAACCAATGAGATCAAGGAGAACCCAGTAATCTCATTGATTGACGCCTATCATTGGTTCGCCCCCTGTGATTTCATTGGTTGCCCACCAAGAGTAGTTACTTTAGAGTCCACTTCATGGCTCCCACATCTATGTTGTACGGAATATTTGAAAGTTCCCCAATGTTAATGAATCACCACAGTAAATAACAAAACTAGTATTCATTATTAAAAGATAAGATTAATTGGTACAATGAACTTTGGAATGAGTGAATATCAAGTGCTACACGTGTAGCGTTAGAAGAAAGCTTTTAGAATAATAACTTGTTTTCCTGGACGGCGCTGAGTCTCAGTTGCGCCCTGAAGTTGATCGGCGCGCTGCATCGTGGTCGGTGTGGAAACTTGCTGAGACGGAGTCGCCACAGTTGCGATCACGAATTCATTCTCTTTCTTCCTCAACCCTTAAGTGGGGATCGCATCGTGAGCGGATCCCCGCTAAACATACGCAACCTATACAGAGCGCCATTATAGAGCGAGTGAGATGCTTTTTCTAGCAAAGCGCGACCACTTGAGGGTTAAAAATTTCGTTCGATTTTTAGGCTACCGTATGTAGGAAGGAGTTGAATATATCTACTAGATGTTCAATGAATTATTAGTCTTCCTTAATAACATGAAGAAATTAAACGCTGTGTGCACCAACTATAAAGCAATAACTCATAATTATCACTCATTTCCATTTTGTAATTGGATGAATTACCTGAGTTAGAAGGTATCGATTCACTTTGTAAAGTCCATAGGCTTTGAATTTATAATCACGGTGAGATCTTATCATTGTCAAAAGTACAATTTTCCGGAACTTCTGACTCTGGTCTGGCCACTGGCAAGTGTAGATCGTGTTGGCTATATTATTTGTCTGATGGTATTATTCAAACAGATAGGTTCAGAGTGTTCCTTGAATTTTTTTCTGATGTACCAAGGACAAGCACTCACCCAATGAGAAATATCTTCGGCAGAATTACAGTATATGAATGGTTGCATAATGATAGCTACAAAATGGAATAGCAATGTGGCAGCATCTACGAACTGTAGCACCGACAATTTCTGCAAAGAGAGATTAAAATTAAATCAAGGGCACTCCATAATTACAAAATATAGTGAGGAAGCTATTAAATAAATTTTACCGATTCCAGAGCGAATACACAAACACATAAATGCGCACTGGTGAATATAATTATTAAAAATATTATTGGGTTGAATATTTCTTCAATCCTCTCGCAATATCTGAAATATTACATTGGCTATTGCTAGTTACATTATAACGCAGGGAGGCCGAAGACGGGATTTTTTTTCACTGAAAACAGGAGTTTATATATATTTCCGTAATTTGGGACGTTACAGAATATGGTTAGATAGGATTTTGGAGTAGGTAAGAAGGGACCCAGGATGATTCTTGATATTCATTTACAAGAAAAATCTACTGAACAAATGAATAGTCCAGACCGGGACATGAACCCGGGACCCACCGATGCATCGGGTGCTCTCTCAACTGAGATATCCGACTTCTAACTATTTCTTCACTGCAAAATTTTTGTACATATCAAGCTCTGTCGTCCTTCATACGGTATGAAAGTAAGTTTATACCGTTTTTCGCTGTGCATATACGAACTATATCACTTCCGGAGTTGATCAATTGGGTGGAGTGAAATTGATGATGTCATTATAAACACAGTAAACAACGCGGTCAAGGGTGAAAAATGACAATAAACACCTTATAAATATTTTTGTCACTCAGTTTGTGAAGCCTTGTTTCACGCATGCCGCGCATATTAAAAAGCCGTTCATGAACGTCGTAACAAAAAATATGCTTCGTCACTGTGTCAAAAAAAAATTTCTAGCGAATACGCATGCAGAACCCGTCTTGGGCTCGTCCTTCGACAACCACATATTCGCCAGAAAAATTTTCTTCGCCACAGTGATGAAAAATACTATTAATCCAGAGCTGGGGACGTTAGCCCCTTTTTTCTTACTGTGCTCTACCTATTCTACTTTGTTACATCAAGTTTTATATTTACGAGAGTAATTCACTGTGTTGTCTTCCCATATTATGAAGTTTTTTCAATAGTCCGCAATTCAACTTCCTAACATCATTGTATAGTGTTATCTCGGCGTATTTTTTACCTACAATCTGCAAAATAATCAGAAATAGAGACAAAAGCGAGAAGACTGATTTCAATGGAAAAATCTTGAAGAAAAGGGTGTTACCTGTAATAGTAATGATAGAATCGTTGTCAATTGGAGGAAGAGAGTATCGACACTGAGGTACGAATTGATGAAGAAAAATGTGCAAACTACTTCAAATATTGTACATAGAATATACATTGGTACGGTGTCAATACTAAATGGATAACGTATGGGCAACAGCCTCATATTAAAATCAAAGTGAGTCTGATCCTCATCAGTCACGAATTTGTGTACCGCTCGTCTGGATGATGAAAACGAAATTTTATGCTTTCATAAGAAAAAGAATGGAAAGATACTTTTCGAAAATTACACGAATGGCACGATGAGATAGAAAGCCCCAACTGCGCAGATTAGAATCGCATAAAAGACAGTGAAGAGTATACTTCTTTTTGCAGTATTAATGATCTTATCATCGACACCCTCCTTTAATTCTTTAGTCCATGCAGTTTTCATGTTTTCAAGTAATCCTTTCATTCCCTCTTTCGAACGACACAACGATACACCCTTGATCAAATCAAACGAGTCGGTAAATAATTCGTAGAGTTATCACTACAATTCATATCTTTCAAAATAGAATGATAAAAATGAGTAATGAGATTCGCTAGAGCTGTCACATATTTCATCATTTTAGGATCAACGTTTGGCGTCGGGGACTTCTGGGCTCGTTCAGAGGGTTATTATTGTTACAAGAATTTATAATGAAATGATTTGCCGTATTCGTTTCAACCATTTCACAATAAGTACTTACACCGAACCATGCGAGAATTGTAGAGAAAATCATTGGCATAGTTTCCAATGCCCGGTGCATATCAAGATTCCATTCGTGAATGAAATTACTGATGAAACCTAAAATGACAAGGAGCGCTGCTGCAGCAGTTACCGAGAATAAAAGTACATTTTCTTCCTCAGTCACCGATGTGTCATGAAAAACTCCATAAATGCTACGTAAGCATAGTTTTTCAAGGAGACTATTCGACACTGCGAACATTGCATTGAAACATACTTTCGGTAGATTGTTCTTCTCATGAAATACTGTAAATTTGGTGAGTAGATGTTTTGGTGTGTGTTCTTCAGAGATATTAGTTTTCAAAATCCTATTCTTGCTCTGCATCCTTAGATCTTTGAAAGAGTAATCAATAGTTGAACCAAGTTTTGAGGTGATGATTGGCACGTCGCTTTTTGCTTCCGAATGGAAACTTTGTAATCGTTGATTTTGACGATCTTCTAATTTTGTCTGAAAATGAAGTAGAATGTCATGAAATATGAAGATATGATGTTTTTAGAAAATGTGTATACCGTGGTGGCACCAGTTTTCGAATGGTTAAAGGACATCCCCACATCAATATCGGATTATCCGTGTTTCCCATCAAATGTGAAATATTAACTTGAAGAAGTAAATTCAGATGTGTTTCCGACAGAAAAACACTTTATTTTGATTGAAAAAATTAGTTATTAGATGATTATTTGCGAAAATAAACCATAGTGCTCCGAACCCAGATCGAGATACGCGGCAGCGTATCGGCCAAGAAAACTTTTGACCGACTGAGAAAAACATCAGGCCGAGCGCACCGTGTATCTATACACGACAGAACTTGACTTCCACTACCTCTAAATGATTTACATTCGGTATGATGAAAACGGGACGACAAATGGGGAAAGTGTCATTAGTTACATTATATAAATCGCCTATAAGTTTTTCAACAGTGTAACTATGGTATTTTTTGGATTAACAGTAAAAAAGATACGCGCATAGCAACGAGTTGATATTCACATTATCGCGATTCACATTATAATGTCGGAGAATCAAGTTGTAACGTTGGTAGCGCCGGTACAACTGAGCTTCATATCCAACGTTGAAGTGTTGCCACCAGTGCATTTGAATGTGGGTTGTGATGTTTTGGAGAACTACGGAAAATGTTTTTCTTCACGTTAAATCACTTGTTAGAATGAAACGGAAAATCGACTCGGTGTTCTATTTTGTTTTCTCTCGTCGAAAATTCGAATTTCATCCCGCCATATCTATATTCATATACGGACCTCGGACATAAAGGTAGTTTATGCACTGTTTGTGAGGTTATCGGTTTATGTTTGGAATGTGACCAAAGGGAGATGTGTCGAAAATATTGTGTGATCAAGTATTAAATGTCCGTGAATAGTTAAATTCGAAAAGAAAATATTTATTTTTCTCCGAGTGTAACAGAAAATGTTTTCATTCCGTGGAAAAAAATTCACTAAATTAAGTGATAGTGAAATGCGAACAATTTTGTGATTATTTAGGAATAATTAGTAGGAGACGGTGGGGTTAAATGGACACTTTGAACCCTTTCCAAAATGTTGATGTCTTATTGAAGTGTTGATGAAATAGATTTTTTTTTCAAATTAAAGTACAGTTAGCCCCTTTGTAATAAGCTTAGACTGAACTCAATCGGAAGAGTCCATTCCACCCAATGTTTCCCTAATATTTTTAGAAAACAAAAAAAAACTAAAACAGATGTTTTCAAAAAGAATTCTTTGTGAACATTTTGTTCGACTATTCTTATAAGGAAATCAATTCATCTCTCCACGAAATACAATCCACATAGGAATCATCAGAGCAAAAATTGAATGAGGAACCAAATCAAGTCAGAAAATTACTAATAGATGATTAAAATTTGAAATTCAGAGGAGAGAATAAATCTGGAGTAGAACTGTTCATTTCCCTTCAATTATTGATTCAAAAAATGTTCTATCTTATGAAAAATGAATCAGTTAAATTGAATTGAAAAGAACAAATTTCGCCGGATGTAAAAACAGTCCTTGCTTATTTTGAAAAAATAATGAAATCTGCCTAAAAACACAAAAACAAAAGTTTTTGCAAAAAAACTGGGCCAAGAAAAAGTTTTGTTTGATTCCTACTGGGAATAAGTATTCTAAAAAAAATCTCCATGAAATAAAAAATCAGTAGGAGCAGGACCAACATTCTTGGCGCGGAGTTTTTCAATTCACTGTCTGTATCAATCTACTGATTTTTTATTTCATGGAGAATGTTTTTAGAATACTTATACCATTGAGAACTATTTTTTTTATAGAAACCTGATTGTGCACTGTCACCATTTATTCAAAATTCCTAACTTGGCGTCCTTTTTTATTTCTATGTNACTGGGAATAAGTATTCTAAAAAAAATCTCCATGAAATAAAAAATCAGTAGGAGCAGGACCAACATTCTTGGCGCGGAGTTTTTCAATTCACTGTCTGTATCAATCTACTGATTTTTTATTTCATGGAGAATGTTTTTAGAATACTTATACCATTGAGAACTATTTTTTTTATAGAAACCTGATTGTGCACTGTCACCATTTATTCAAAATTCCTAACTTGGCGTCCTTTTTTATTTCTATGTATTTTTCAAAAACTTCGACTTCCCAGTAGCTATCAAACAAAATTTTTCTTGACCCAGTTTTTTTACAAAATTTAGAAAGTTCAAAATTGACCCACCCGTGTTGTAACATAATGTGGGCATAATGTGGGTTTTCGAATAAAACTCAAAAGGAGTTTGGGCGAAGAAAATTTAGGGAATAGTTTATGAAAAAATAATCTAGAGCAATTTTATTGTGATCTCAACAGTAAAAACCTGATTAAAGAACTGAATGAGCTCTCTCCAACTATTTCTTCTTCACTCCTCTTTTTTTCGCCACAACGTTGGGCTTCTTATTCTTAGCGTGAATCAATTCCTTTTTTCGGAGTTTCTCCTCCAAATCGTTCTCTTTTTTGATTGCGTGAGCTCATCTAGCAGCTCCTTGTTGTTGAATTTTCTACTCACGTTTGGTCTGGACCGGTACAAAATCAATTATAAGGTTAGAAAGAATACATTTGTCAAGTACTCTCACCCCGTATTCTGTGAACCCAAATTTCGAATGCTGTATTTCTTATAAGTTTTTGGTTGTTTTTGGTTTTGTTTCAATCTGTATCGAGTCAAAAATTATCCCTCAACTCATAGAAACTGATTAAAATCAATTGTTTGCTTACATTTTGTCGCCAGATCCTTATTAAGTGTGACTGAATCCAACTGTCTGTGTACAACATAAGGCTCGATAAACAGATCAATCGATCGAGTACTCCGGAAAAATCTAATTTTAGGAATTTATTGGACTCTGTGTAATGTAAATAAATATTACAATTCGTGCAGAAAAAACTGCACTTCGAGAGGAAAAAAATGAAAATTGACTTTGATGGCTTTGAATATTTCGACTCCTTAATAACAGACAAGCGTAAGTACTTTGAGTTCCCTATGGAGATACGCTTATCTGTTATTAAGGTATTGATTGATTCTTTCGAAATTATGCCACAAGGGTGTTCCAAATTCGCCTATTTGGGTCCCATTCGAAAACTGGTGCCACCACGGTATGTGTATCCATATGTATATGCCGATTTTTTATAAATTTTCTCATAAATATTTACAGAAATAGGAGTAACGTTAAGGCTAGTACTCTGAAATTTTATCCCATAATTAATATGGTTTGGGGTGAGATTGTTTTGACATGATTCTCTACTTAATTATTCCGCCTGATGAGGGCTGACCAGCTGCAGAAACCGCGATGAAGTATTCCCACGAGATGAAATAATATATTTCGATATAAGTATAGCTTTAGGTAAAATAACAATAGTATATTTCCCACCAAGGGAGGGAAAATAAAGGAGTCGTGCCCACGTGCAGAATTACCACCCGAGCCGAAGGCGAGGTTGGTAAGCACGTGGGTAAGGGTCCTTTATTTTACCTCCCGTGGGGAGAACGTTATTTTTCGTCACGGCGTAGGTGGAAATATATTTCGATACATTCACACGATCTGAAAAATCCCCGGCAAACATGTGGCGAACTCTATTTTTCGTCACAAGGCTGAAAATAGTATCACTGGGCCAAGCAAAAGTTTTGTTTGATTCTAACTGGGAAGTCAGTTTTTGAAAAATACATAGAAATAAAAAAGGAAGCCAAGTCAGGAATTTTGAAGAAATGGTAGTAGTGCACAATCAAGTTTCTATAGGAAAAATAGTTCTCAATGCAATAAGTATTCTAAAAAAATTCTCCATGAAATAAAAAATCAGTAGGAGCAGGATCAACGTCCTTGGCGCGAATCAAAGGATGGAGGATTAGATTGATACAGACAGTGAGTTGAAAAACTCCGCGCCAAGAGCGTTGGTCCTGTTCCTACTAATTTTTTATTTCATGGAGAATTTTTTTAGAATACTTATTCCATTGAGAATTATTTTTCTAATAGAAACCTGATTGTGCACTATCAAAATTTATTCAAAATTCCTGACTTGACTTCCTTTTTTATTTCTATGTATTTTTCAAATACTTCGACTTCCCAGGAGGAATCAAACAAAACTTTTTCTTGGCCCAGTTTTTTTGCAAAAACTTTTGTTTTTGTGTTTTTAGGCAGATTTCATTATTTTTTCCAAAATAAGCAAGGACTGTTTTCACATCCGGTGAAATTTGTTCTTTTCAATTCAATTTAACTCATTCATTTTTCATAAGATAGGACATTTTTTGAATCAACAGTTGAAGGGAAATAAACAATTCTAGTCCCGATTTATTGTCTCCATCGAATTTCAATTTTTAATCATCTATTAATAATTTTCTGACTTGATTTGGTTCCTGACTCAATTTTTGCTCTGATGATTCCTATGTGGATTGTATTTCTTGGAGAGATGAATTGATTTTCTTATAGGAATAGTCGAACAAAATCTTCACAAAGAATTCTTTATGAAAACATCTGTTTTTGTTTTTTTTTGTTTTTAAAAATATTAGGGAAACATTGGGTGGAATAGACTCTTCTGATTTCTTGTTTCAATATTTATAACCAAGGAACAAATTTATCGATTGAGCTCAGTCTAAGCTCATTACAAAAAGGCTGACTATACTTTAATTAAAAAAAAAATTCTATTTCATCAACACTTCAATAAGACACCAATATTTTGAAAAGGGTTCAAAGTGTCCATTTAATCCCCCCGTCTTCTACTATATATTTTTTTTTCTTCTCGTATACCCTTTCGGGTCTTTACGATTTGTTCCTTTCTCACCCCCCAACCCCCTGTACCGCATTCGCCGAAAGACAAGGGAAAACCTCATTTGAGGGAAAAACCTGCCCAGGTACAGGCGTCTCTTGCGAGACTCCCGCTCGATAATGAAACCATGAGATTTAGAGTGTCACAAATTTTGGCCCCCCCAACCGGAAAACGAATCCGGGTCTCCCGCA